TTTATAATGACTTAACATTTAAACAGCATTAAATAATCATTAGAAATGATTCTATAGAAGTTTGCTTTGCTACACCCACAGCTAGGTGAGTTAGTCCAGGACAGGCCGGGACAGATCTGTGTTTCTCCAGCTGTCAGTCATCACCGCGTCAGATTGACACATCACCACATTTCTGTCACATTTACACCAAAAACATTCACACGTAAACATTTCACTTCCCTACCTGTAACACAACCTCCACGTCATAAGAGTTTCCCTTGCTTTTCTGGTGGCCCCTGAATTTGGAGCCGCTGTACAGGAGCGAGGTAACGACGCCCGGCTGCTGGGTGTTTATCGGCGGCGGCGGGATAAGCGAGGCCGAGGATGTGAAGGCCGCAGGGAAGTCGCTGAGGTATCCAGCGGGGACGGGCATGGCTCCTGCTTCGCTGGCTGGGCACCAACCGCAGGCAATAGCCGTGCTGGCAAAGGACTCCAGTCGCTCCTAGAAACCGCTAAAGAAATGCTGGATCTGTTTAAAAACATCCAAACACCCGTTTATCTCCGCCGCGGCACAGTTTAACCAAGCTGCCCGAGAAGTAAAGTGGACTTCGTCGCTGCGCTCTGACCGGGAGCATCAGCCTCCCTCATTGGTCAACGGAATTCACGTCCCAAACATCGGAAACGCTGATTGGAGTAAACCGCGGAAGACTTTACGTGAACATTTGAGTGTAGTTTATTTCGTGGTGTTCCACGGTTCTACAGAGGTTCTACAAGACTACACTTCCCTTCAGTTAAAGACATTTGGGAAGAAGTTTGAAGGAGAAGGTCAGAAGCGTGATTTTGAACAGAGGAGCTGCTCAACACGAGAAACAACCAAAACAGAAATTTAGCTGAAATTAGCTTAGCTGCGTGAATTTAAATGAAGAGCTGTCAGTTAGCTTTGATTCTATCTACTGTAGCAGTGCTCCTCATTAAGCGCCGCTATGTTTAAAAGTGTTATTAGACTGCAGAGCCGCTTAGGTGGTGTGATTACCTTTTGTAAAGTGTTTCCCAGACATGAACTCTTCAGGAATGCGATGAAATACTCCACAGCGTCAGCAGGTAGGATGAAACTGGGCAGATAAATTATTGTGCCAACCCTGCTGTCTTATGTTCTCAATGGATTTTTTTTTTGCTCTTTGCTAGAGAGGAAGAGATTTTACCAAGATGTCAGTATATCCCAAGGTGAAGGTAAGCATTAATGTAATATACAAAGCCCTGAATCAGTTTATGCTGGATCTGTTTAAAAACAGGCTCCCCCAGATCTGAGCGGACATGATTCTGCTGTATAGTGGATAATATGTGTTAATGATGTGAATGAACCTCCAGGTGGTCTGTATGAGGTAAACCTGGACAGAAAAAAGTTGAAGACCCCCAGTGGGAAGCTGTTCACTGTGCCGAATGAAGCCCTGGCCATCGCCGTGGCTACGGAGTGGGATGCTCAGAAAGACTCCATCAGGTTCTACACCATGCATCTGGTACGGCTTTACCAGATATGTGCCACTATATGTGACTGATCACAAATAACCATACAAAGGGGAGCGTCTCTGTCAGTCTGATGGAAACAGGAGAAATAATTCCAGTTTTTACCAAAAAGCTGAAACCAGTTTGAGTCATGATGAGCATCACCTGAGCAGATGAAGCTCTAACCTCAGAGCGGATCTTTGTCCTGATGGATTTGAACTGATGATGAAATGTTTTCTGCAGACCACTCTGTGCAACACGGCTCTGGATAATCCCACTCAGCGCAGCAAAGAGCAGATGATCAGCGCCGCCCTGAAGTTTCTGGAAACCGACACCATCTGGTATCATGTTTTAAATAAATGTTTCTCTGCTGCTGCATTTAGATGAGACATTAATTATCTCTGTAGCCAAAATTTAGACTTTCTGCCTTTTAAACCTACAGATAAATTTCCTATTTTCTTCATCTCACTGGACCTAAACTTACTTTCTGCTGTTTTCAGGTTCTGACCTCTCTGATCTGAATAGTTTTATCATGTTGTAGTAGTATCTGTAAAACCTGGTTTGGCTGTATCAAACGGCTAAGGAACTAACAGGGATGCATCAGAACCTGAAAGCATCATTCAGCGTTTATTGGACGTCTCATCTCAAACAAAAACAATGGAAAAGTTTTGTGGAAGAACAATCTGTGTGTGTGTTTCTGGACTTGAGATTAGATTGAATTTTAAAGAGTGAAATTCAAATAGGTATTCTATTGTTTTGTGGTAAAGCTGCTGTCTGTGGTTTTAGCTACAGAGTAGATGAACCTCCAGGTTTGGTTGAGCTGCAGAGGAATGAGTGGGATCCTGTGCTGCACTGGATCGAAAGCAGGTAACGGTTAGCTTCAGCTGGAGACGAGATGCCACTACAACGACCCGCTGACCTGCGTTTCACCGACAGATACAACGTCACTATCGGATCATCATCCAGCATTCTGGGTCCTGAGATCCCAGAGGGAACCAAGGAGACGTTCCGACAGCACCTGGGCTCCTTCTCCCTCTGGTCCCTGACAGGTGAGGCTCACTGCGGGGCGCTGCTTCGGGCCGGGCCGGACGCCGGTTCCTGCTGACGTGTGTCTGCTGCTGTACAGGGCTGGAGTTCGTCATCACACAGCTGAAGTCTCTGATTCTGTCACTGGGAATGCTGGACCGGCACCTGAGCGTAGAGCGGGCCGTGCTGCTGTCCAGACTGGAGGAGGAATACCAGGTAGAACCGACCAATTCCAGAACCGCACCTGGTTTAGGGAGTTATCTGCAGAGACATACCAATCCAATATTAATATCTGTATTGGTCCCAATGTTGAAATAATTTCTAGATGCAGAATCAATGACAATATGATCCTAAGGGCAGATCTATTCAGTCTAATTCTATGTTTTATTTATTTTTCCATTAAATTTAAAATTCCTAATTGATCTTTCTGAACCATTGTTAGTTTAATTTTACATATCTGACCAAAGAAGTGAACTTATTGTTTTAGTCAGTTTCTTATTTTCCATTGGCTGTTTTGCTCCTGACTGCAGGTTAAAGTTGTTTTTACATGTTTGACCAGCAGGTGGCGCTACTGCCTTATTTGAATGAGCTGTTCTGCTGAACAAATAAATTTGTCAAATAAATTAGTAATTCAGTACATTTATGTCTGAATTTAAAAAAAAAGTTTTAAGTCAGTTCAGCTGTTTTTCTGTATCGGATCGGTATTGGCCGATACCGAACCTCAGATATCAGTATCGTATCGGAAGGAAATCGAGTGGGTCCCTAGTTATCTGTCAGCTGTTTGTCTTTCAGATTTCTTCTGGTTTAAAATGTTTTTCAAAGATTGACCTGCTTTATCTTTGATTTTTGGTGGTTATTTGTCAGATTCGGCACTGGGGAAACGTGGAGTGGGCTCATGACTACGACATGTATGAGCTGCGGGCGCGGACGGCAGCCGGGGCGCTGTTTGTTCACCTCTCATCCGAGAGCTCAACCATCAAACACAAACTGATGCAGGACTGATCGGCTGGTTCCGGAAACCGGCTCGGAAACATCCAGACTGTCCGGGTCATGTGGTTCTGCAGCGGCCATTCACAGCGGACTGCTGTCAGGTCATCTAAATCTCAGATCAGTTTTTCTTTTTGTAGGTTTTTTAAATGTTGTGACTCTTCACTTTCTGTTGGGATGTTCTGGACCAGGTTGGACCTCAAGCCTTTCAAAATAAAGCGTCATGTCAGTAAATACCAAACTCACCTGTCCAGGAGTTTGTCTGTGAGTAACTTGCTGACTGTGCATGTTTTCCAGCTTGTTTCTGTTCTCACAGCAACCAGCAGCTGGAACATCCCAATGATTTCCCAGTTTATAACAGAAAACATGTTTGTTGGGTTTAACCTTTGACCCCAAGTGCTGCAGGTTGAAGAATCAAAATCTTACTGATCTCACAGGTTGGAATTAGATTCTTGGATGTGTTCAAAACTAAAGACATTTAGAGATGCACTGATATGAACTTTAGCCAAAACTGATATTAATATAACAGATGAAAAGAGGACAGTCGCTTTAACACCCCCAGTCCTGCACTGCATCACTGTCACATGACCAAACGAATCCCACATGACCTCTGCCCTCTTCAGAACAACAAACGAGAACAAGATGAAGGCAGACGGCTGTCTGAACGCTCTCAGCTGGAGGTTTGGATTAATGTGTTTTTGGATATAAGGAAATTCTTGAGGTATCAACGTGTCTTTTTATGGAAGGTCACCATATTGGATTTTGTGATCAACCTCTTCAGTTTTTTGCTTTCTTGAACTCTGAACTTTTGACCTTGAATTAAAAATGGGTTGCAATCTCATCCTAACAAGTGCAAATATATGGAACCCCATTTCTGCCATGAAAGAAAAAATAAAAGTCCAACAAGAAGTCATAATTTAGAATTTTAAAGTCATATTTTTAACTTTCAGAGTCATAATTATGGAAGTCTCTGTGACTTTCTATCTCAGTCAGAGGCTTCTTCACATTTGCTGTGGTACAGACTGCTACAGGAGATCCTTGCTGCCCACATCCATCACCATCTATAATAACTTTTTAAAGAACCTGGGATAATATGAGTTGCAGCTACAGTTAGTTTCACTTTAGGGTCAACAAAGTATTTTTTAATTGAATTCAATAATTGTTCACTTAAGTATTTATTGACTGAAATAATTATAAAAACATCTTCAATGCATTTATCTACAACTTTATTTTAATTAGAATATTTGTAGTCTAATTACTTAATTAAATTACTATATTGTGCAACCTCTTTCAATTCCTGTTACTGTTACCTGTTGTATGGAAATAAAAGAAAGTAGAACATATTCTTTATTTTCGTAATTACATTGATAAGTTGAGTGTTACAGTTCCCTTATCAGGAGTTTATTGACCCAACCTTTGGCATGTGTTACGTACAATGCATTTAATGACTGTTGGGACTATCCAATCAAAATAAAGCTCAAGAATCTGTTGACCAATTGTGTAAGTCTGTGGGCGGGGCTTGGTAGACGTCTCCTATTGCATCATCACCCTCGTCCCATGGACTGACTTGTTTGTTGTCGAGCAAGATGGAGTTCCTTCTGGGAAATCCTTTCAGTACCCCGGTGGGTCATTGTATCGGTGAGTCAGAATATCCCGAGGCCGCTGCTGGAAGATGGACATGTTCGAGGTTTCAGTGGAGAAGTCATTTAAAATGTTGCTACTTTAGCATGCTGACGTCTCTGAATGAGTGGAGCCTCCGTTAGCCGCCTAGCTAATGAGCCTCTAGTCCTACCCTGGTCTCCGTGGAAACCTGGATGTTAACTAGTTAGACGTCTCCTTTATGTGGTTGTAATTAACGCCAGTTGGTGCTAAGCAGTCAGGTCTGTTTTAGCTAAGGGGCTGGGGTGAAGTTAGCTCTCTGCTAGCCACCAGTCATCGTCATCAGGCTGCTGTGTTTATGGAAAGACGTTAATGTTTTAATGTTTGTTCCAGAGAGAGCCACTGATGGGTCCCTGCAGAGTGAAGACTGGACCCTCAACATGGAGATCTGTGACATCATCAATGAGACAGAGGACGGGTGAGTAGCCATCACTGTAGGCTAATAATCTGTACTTGGATGTTTTTACCTGAGGAAAGGCTGACTGAAGGCACTCAGTCCCTCACCTGTCCTCCATACCTGGGCCAAGGCGAGAAAAGGAATCCAGCTCTGGGTGTGTGGGGCCTCAGTGCTTATCTCCTGCTCCATAATCGTCTGCTTTTATTCCTTTAGCTGGTGTGTGAAGTTCAGCTTTCTGTTTGATTAGCGGGTCGTAAACAGCCCTGCCAGATCACCTTCACATTAAAATAAACTGCGACTGAAATGCTACAGCTGCCTCACCCTTCTCCTGCCCCTGACCCTCCAGAGCAGCTTCAGCTGAATCGGTTAAATGATAAAACAGGTTTTGCTCGGCATGCCTGAGTGAAGGTGGACTCTTAGAGAATAAACACTTTCTCTTTGTTTTCACTTTCCCTCACCCTCCACAATTAGCAACAGTTTTTATTTTCACATGTTCATGTTATGAAGCTTGTTGCAATAAATCAACTCATTACATGATAAATCAAAGTGAATGTGATCATTTCCATTTACATGGTTGTTTTCCCTCATCAGTCTCTAAAAACACTGGATGACTTGAGCCTTTGGTCTCAGCTGGCCCCAACAGATTTCATAATCCATTTTATTTGTTATTTCTGTTCTTTGGTTTATTTATTTTGGATGTTTAAAATGTCTTCCAGTCCCATTGCTAAATGTTTGTTGAAAATTAAAGATTATTGATCTTTGAGAATCTGTGCTTGGATTATTATGACATTTTCATTATATTACTTGAAAATTGCCTCAAAATGACAATATTATCATTTATCACAATAACTACTGGCTCAACTTATCACCCAGCAGGCCTCAATGTAATTAAGTTTTATTAAGTTTTCAGAAGAAAATTCAATCAACTTTTTCCATAAATAAAGCATGGTGTGTTTTAATAGCAGCTAGCTAAACATTCTTCCTCTATCTGTGCAAATCTGGGGAGAGAATTTAAATTCATGCCACACTTTTAAGATTTTGCTTAAAAATCAAAACTATTTTCTTTTCACTTCAGTTATGATCTCCTTGGTGTTGGTTTTTCATATGAAATTATAATATTTCCATTAATGTTTGTGGTTAACATGAAAAAAGCTCATAGATCTAGAAAAAAGATCTAGAGAAACTCATCCAGACGTTTATCTTCAGTCTCATTGTTTCCTGCAGCAGCGTCTCCACAGGTCTGTCCACCAAATCGATCCTCCAGCTGCAGCTGATCCAGAAGCTGCTGCTGTTGTTCTGACTAGAACCAGGAAGATGGAGACATAAGACCAGATCTACAGTCCTACAGCTGTAGCTCAGAGAACAGACTGTAAAATCCTGTT